AGAACTTGGCCTGTGGATGCAGATGGCCTAGAACTTGGCCTGTGGATGCAGATGGCCTGGGCGGCTTTGGGGTTTCACCTTTTCACCTTCACGCAGCAGAAGGAACATTATGCACTTTGGATTTTTTTCCTTTTTCTTACTTAAACTCACACCTCGCGCACGCATCTGCGTCTTGCCCTGGTGACTGATGTGAGCACAATGGGAGCGTTTAGTCAGCCGCTAGGCCTGTGGGAAGGAAGAGGCGAGTAGGGGTGACTCAGGGCAGGCGCGGGCTCCGGGCTTCGCAGGAAAGCAGCGAATGTGGACGCCCAGGGGGCAGCTGTGCTGAATTGAAGAAGATTTGTGCTGAAAGAAGAAAACCTAATTCACAGATTACATCCGTGTCGTGGCTGTTCTGGTGGGCACTTCCCTCTGCTTAGTAATAGGATCCCTCCAGCAAACTTGTGGAAAATAGAATTTGCAGGCGGAAACAGCATTAGGGCGGGTGCCGGCCATGTACTCCTGTGTGACAGCAGTGTCATCGCAGACCAGCACGCAGCCTCCAGGTCCAGTTCCTGTTGGGGGACTCCGCCACGTCCTCTGTGCAGGGTCCCACCAGGTTAAGGCTGCCTTTGCAGTTAAGACCACCCACTGTCCCCACCAGGCGGGGTCCTTAGCTTGGCCTCCCGCCCTTCAGAACCACCACGGGAGCCGGATGCTGCAGGCTCACCTAGTGCCACACACAGTCACGGCAGCCGTCACCTTCACCGTATTCTGCTGGTTGAAAGCAGCCTCAGATCCCACCTGCACCTCCAGGGAGGGGCCGCACCTGGGACGGGGGTCCTGGGGCCAGGTTCTAGCCTGTCCGCCTCGGCTGGCAAACAACGCTGGGGTTAGAGAGAGTGAGCATAAAGTCGCACAGCCCAGAGAGCAATCTGACCACAGCTGCCCTGCGGCACACCAGTCACTGACGTCATGAGTGGTCATGTGAAAACAGGAATTCCAGCGACGGATGGGATGAGCCCCTGCTGGCTGCGTGTCGGGCATGTTCTGAAGTTTACACCTGTTAAGCCATCTCCCCTCACAGCAGGTGCTGCTGTGAAGCTATGATTTTTGCTCTCAATATGCCCATTTTACTGATAAGAAACTGAGGTGAGTGAGGAGCCGCATGGCAGGGCCAGCCGTGGCTCCAGCCGTCTAGCACCAGCCTGCTCCACGCTGACTCAGTGGCGTGTGTGCCAGGTCATGGTACATATGTGCGTGAGCTTCTGTTTCAGGCACGTCCCTGAGACAGGAGTGCACCCAGGCAGCAGTGGCGTTTAAGCAGAGAGCAAAGTTCTTGTCACCTCTTGTTACACATGGCTGCTGCCCTGGCAGATCCCAGCATCGCTGTCGGCATGAGGAAGCTTCCCCGGTGTCCGAACGAGTCTTACCAGGCAGAGCTGAGCAGGGAGCGGCACTGCTGCCCCAGGAGCCAGTGCAAGGTCTCAGGAAGGGTGTGCCTCATGTGAGGACCCCGTAGCAGGTGGCGTTCTTTGTATTTTGACGTCAGCCACACATCACCTGCAGGGACAGAGCC